AGTGAAGAGGATGAGGCGGGGGCTGGTCTGGGTGGTCAATGCAGTCTGCACCACTGTAGGTCACTTCCTCTGAGGCTAGACGGTGCTATACAATATACACTGCTGTACTGCAGACTTAAATGGCTTGTGCTAAATTTATCTCCATGATTGAGATGGACGGGTTTTATTGCTGTTATGTCTTTGTTGTCCCGCAAACATATTTCCTTGCAATTGACAAATGTAAAAGGTTGCAGTAGCTGAGAGTACTTGGCTCCAATACACTCTCAGAATTCTTGTAAGAGGAAAGATTTAATTCTGCGGAAATTGGGTTCTCAAGTGGCACTATGAAAACTGCTGCGTCCAATTGAAAAGCTCTGATAGTGCTTGGAGTGGATCTTACATTAAAACCTGCTGCCTTTGATAAATCTTATCGGGGAATTTCCAGTCCTTTGTTGGATGGAATTTGACAGACTGATGGTGAATCTTTTCATCGGATTTCAATTCAAATCTTTGAAAACAAGAGATAACCTGCACTTTGGATCTTACCATAGTAGATCAGCATGCCTGTAGTCCAAATGTGATTGGACTTGTCTGAATGTGCCAGGCTCAGGATTTTGCAAGGTGTCAGGATGGTGAATTTTAACTGAGAGCGTCAATAGGCTAGTGAATTCAACTCGATTCTCCCTCTCTCCGTCATCTACGCTCTAGTCCCAGCTCTCTAATAACTGTCCTCCTCTGCCTCATAAAACCCCAACATCCTTTAGCGAACTCTATAACAAGGCTTCACAACTGCTTATGGACTATACTGTTGCCTTTATGTGGACCAGAGAGTGCACACTCTGCCATGGAGGAGAATGATACTGCAAACACAGATAGTACATGATTACGACAACTACTAATACAGTATGTCGTTTTTAAACGTTTCTGTGAGAGGTAAAACTCCAGATAAGCATGGCCTTTGCTTCACTCTTTAAGGAAGGTTGCAGACATTACATGTCAGACCATCAGTGGACAAATAGCTAGACCTTGAGAGCTGCCCAGCATGATTAATTAAACAGTGATTACAGACAAAAGCAGGGTAGTAAAGGGCACTACATGCAACAGCTTTAGGCAACGGCGCCACCAACTTTTTATTTGGCCTTTTTCTCAAATTAAGATCCCAAAAAGAGTATCATTATTTAAAAATAAAATATATTTATATACTATATTAGCAACAAAAAACTGCCCCATTAAACACGATTAATCATGATTAATCAAGATAAATAATATTTCTCAATATAACCAAAAACTTTATTTTTTTTCTTGTATATTGCTCGACTAGAAAATAACCGCAATAAGATGTATGTGTTTAACAACTGTTTTTATTTGTTTGTTCTGTTTTTACAAGCTGGTGTCTGTGCTGAAGCAAACACAAGCTGGTTGTTAGATGGTATTTAGGCTCCAGCAGTGTGGGCAAATACCATGTCTGCAACTGTGTTTAGCCATATGCTCTTATTAACAATTTACTCATACTAATTCAAATTGTATTAATTAATTGCATAACTTAAAACGTAAAACGTAAATACATTGTAAATTATTTACAATAAATATTAACCAGATCAGGTGGCCCTTTGGCCCAGAGGCAATGTCTCTGTCATTGGTGTGGAACCCCAGGGTTCACCTCCTGGAAAAGATCGAATTCCGGTTAGGGCAGTTGGTACCGTCCACTGGACTCACCACCTGCAGGAAGGTTCAGGGGGAGTTGGTACGGTGCAGTGTGATTTGGGTGGTGGTCATTGAGACTGCTGCCTCTGCGACCCGGTAACGGATAAGCCAATGAAAATGGATAAATGGATGAATGGTATTATTTTGGCCAATATAAAAATGTTTTTGAAAAAGTTTTACACTGTCAAAACAACCCCATCAACATTATTTAACTAAAGCACTAAAAAAAGTTGTTTAGACTTTCTAATAATTTAATTCACAAAAGCACACTCTTCTGTCTGCCTTTTGCAGCAACAATCTGCAAAAAGCTGTTAAAAGTTTCTTCACATTTTTTGACCCTCAAAGGATTCTTGTCCTTCAAGGCCAGATTGTCTGTAATGGAGACGGCCAAACAAAGAGCAGAAATGCAAGTTCCTCTAAGGTTTGCATTTTTCAGACAGATGAGCATGAAGGACAAGATCATAAGGGCTGCAAAAAAAAAAGTATCAGCCAAAGTTTTTGGAGAGAATTCAAACTATGGTTGGACTGGGCCAAAATGCAACCTTATCTAAATAATGAGGTTATTTAGAAAGAGTGGTTGCCCAATAAGCATTGCAACACTTTCTCTCCAGGCGGCTTGGCATGACCTTGCGGTGGATTGAGATCCTGGCTTGACTGTCAATCAATAAAGGGTCTTGAAGGGAAACTGCTCTCGTTGCCCTTTAATATGTGAGACATATGTAAGACAGAGATAACTGTACTGTAAACAGCTGAGGCTGTTCTTCAAGAATGAGAGTACTTTTCCGGCTTCGCCAGCAGCGGCACGCTACAAAGGAACCTCTGTGGCCGATAACACTGAAGTGGCCACTGTCTTTTTGGTGAGTCTCAGGGTGTCTCACAAACTTTTCTATGCAAGCGTCTTTTCTTTACTCCCCCTCCTCATTTTAGAGGCCCCTCTTTCCTCCTCTTTGCTGTTCCTCTCATGGCCCCTACTGTGGGGACAGAGACAGACACTTCATGAGCCAAAGTTTTGTCTGCTAGTACGACCACTTTAGTCAGGGACAAAGCCCGCTGGTGCTGCCCACCCACGCCCCACTTAGAAACAAGTCCACAGCAGAAACCTTCAGTGCCCCCACATGTTCCCTTCAAAGTCTTTACTGACATTCATTTTTAATGACAAAACATTAACTGCTGGCCATGATGTTCTGGACTACACCAAATAGGAATTATGGTTTAGAACAGGGGTCTCAAATTCAAATGAGCTGAAGGCAACTGCTGACACTGACATTTCTTTACGGGGTACTTTACTACAGATAAATTCCATTTTAGAAACATTAATTTTGTTTAATAATACATATATTGCATATTACAATATAGTGCAAACCAGTACACTTATTTTTAATAATATAACAATTTAATTCTTAAATAACTAATCAAATTATTCCAATCAACAAACAAATAAAACAACTGAAAATAAATTACCTCAAGGGCAAAATTTAAAATCATTATTGACATCTAGTTGTGGGCGGTATTTAGGGGTTTTGCACGCCACAACTTTCTTCTGAACCACTTTAATTCAAGCCTGTTGACCAGTTAAATCTTTAAGGGTTTCAGGTTAAGTCATTAGCCAAGATCAAATTACACATGGACAACTCACCAGTTAAATCACGGGCCAACTATAGAAACAAACAACCATTCACACCTACAGGTGTCAATTACAAACTTCTCCTGTTCACCTACATGGCCATCCATAATCTTGCCCCCCCCCCCATCTATCTGACCTCCTCCACGTCTTAACCCCCACTCGGTCCCTCAGATCCTCCTCCTCCATCCACCTCTCCGTCCCACCCGCCCGCCTCAGTACTATGGGAGCCAGCGCATTCAGTCGCTCTGCTCCCCATCTCTGGAACGCCTTACCACCCGCTCTCCGTAACTGTGACTCTCTGCCCACCTTCAAATCTCAACTCAAAACACACCTGTACACACACTGCATACTCCCTCTAACCTCCCTCCTCCTTGCTTCGGTTCATCATTGATTTTAAACTTAAATTGTGTTTCTATGCCCTGTTTTATAATTATCTGTTTTTATTTTATTTTTATGTACAGTGTCCTTGAGTGACCTGAACGGCGCTCATAAATAAAATGTATTATTATTATTATTAATCCAACATGTTTTTGGACTGTGGGAGGAGACCTGAGTAGCCGGAGAACCTACATTTCCCATAATGCATGTCGACTTCATGACCCGCTTCCCAGCATCTTGGTGAAACACTGGAAAGGTTAATAAATATTAATCCCTTTTGTCTCTCAACTTAGAATGTGTTTTAAATTTCATCCAGTTGAGTGATTGAGATTGACACCCCCCAGTTAGAGGCTTGAAGTGATTGTTGCAGTACGGATAGGGAAAAACAAACACGGCTTTTGAAGTTTATGACACATGTTTCTGTCTTCACGTCAGCAATGCTTTTTGTAGCCACAACACCACCTTCACTGATACCAGACACACTAATGCCACAACATGTAGGTAAAAAAAACAGATGAAACCAATTGTTAGTGCTGTAAACACACACACAACAGTACATCACCGCAGTACTTAACAGGAGGAAGGAGTTCTCTTTTGAAAAGTTTCCAGCAATATTTATCCTCAGTCATGTTTTCAGGTCTCCATATGGTTTCTACTGCACTGGAGCATCAGGGGTTGTTGACCACATGGTCCACATTTTAGATGTACTTAGCATAAATAGGAATAGTGGACAATAAACCATTAAACACATCAGGGATCAACTATGATGTATCTGAGACTTTAAACCCTAATTTCTTAAGGGATGAGGCCCATTCTATTTTATATATATATATAATTTGTTTGATGTATTTGTACACCTGAGCTTAAATATATTATTTTATCAACACAGCAGGTTTATAACCATGAGGTTTTACGTCAGCTCTATGACTCCTAATTTTATCCCATCTCATCTTTTGTGTTGCAGTTAAGTAATGTAATAGTCAAAAATCCATTTATTTATACATAAGGTTTTTAGACGAGTAAATAAAATGAACATAACCAACAAAATAACTGGGAGTGAAACAGCTACAAAAAGACAAGAAATAAAGAATCATTATATAAACAATTACACATACACTGGTATTATCGGTACTACTTCAAAACCTAAATAATTCAATAATATCAATATATTTTATTTTACTTTAAGCATTTGTCTCAAATGCAAACTCTTTTTTTGGCAACAAACCAAAACAGTTTACAATGGCTGTCCAGAAAGCAACTTAAAGTCAGAGAAAAGCAGATTCCTGTGACACAGTGAGAACAAAGTGATTCTTACCAATTTCTGGTTTTCTGGAACAAGTAGCGTATCTGTTCCTTTATTCACTGACAGCCTCCATGTTGATGTGCTTGTAGACCTGAAAGCCATTAGACAGACATTACAGGCACAGCACCAACTTCCAGACGAGCAAAACAAGAAGACAGTGAAAACAAGATATGCTTTGTAAACACGGCTCTAGAAGGAAAAGAAAAGGCAATTGTATGGTGAGAAAAAGAGACTCTAATACAATTTCCATGACACATATTAGCTGTGTCTGTATCTCAGACAGAACACTTCTGCTGTGATCAGAACAACAGGACGTGCTTAATGTTGGCTCTGGTCACTTGTCAGACACACACTGTCTTTGTGAATGTGAATCCACATCCTGTCATAAAACACCATTGTTTCCATGTGGCCTAGTCAGGAATGTACTATTTTGAATCTGTGATTATCAGGTCAACAGGTGTACCATAGAAAAAGATAAAATTTCACCTAACTAGACTGAAAACTATTATTTATTTACAAAAAATGATTTTTCTTTGTTTATCTATGTGCTGTGTCTTTCTTTAATTCCTGCAAGAACATCTGCATATTACTCCACTAAACAGGCACAGGTTTTGCACTGAGTAAGCACATTGTGAAAAACTGAAACAAGAAAATCAATACATGCCATTAAATATCTTCTCTTTTTTTTTTTTTGTTATTTTGTTTGGTGGTGCGCTGTGTATGGCTAAAAAAGTTTGGGAATCAGTGGAAACACTAGTGGGAAAAAAAGATGTCAGGTTGTTTAATGAAGGTCTGATTTATACATAAATACTTAATACGTGAGGGGTTGCCCTCAAGTATTAAGTATTTATGCATTTTATATAAAGTGTTCTAAATAAAGTGTACCATGGATCAATATAAAGATTTACTGTAAATGCTAAAAATGTACTAGTTATTAAAAAAAAACTGAAAATGGGTTAAAGTCAAGTTTATACATATCTGTAACTCCTAAAACATGGAACAGTTTGTCATTTCTTTAACATCTCATCTGTTCCTCTTTTCTTACTGCGCTAAAAGAATTCCAGCCAAGGACTGTTTGCCAAAAACCTGTCCAAGTAATCACGAGCATCTGTTTCTTATCTGCAACATCTTTATCTATTCACTCTTAGCCCATGAAACTAACTTCTGATTTGGAAAGTAAATTTTCACTTGGACTTCATGTATCTCTTGGTTAAGCAATAAAATCCCACCTGTCATCTGTTATTTACTGATCTCATCTTTTGCACAGTGTGGCCAATGTAAAAACCATAAAGCTGAAAACAAGCTATTGTGTGCAGTGTTTTCACATTTGTTCATGACACAAGTCAAACTCAAAGTGTGAAATCTGTTGATCTAGACAAGAATTATGAATAAAAATCATCTTTGACTGACAGAAGCCATCTCATTTCAATCAACAAACATTTTATATCGACGTAGTGTTTTTTATTACTCCTAATTTCTAATTCTGTGGGTCAGCTGTGATAAGCTGAGCGCAAATGAGAGCCAGGAAACTAAACTTAAATTCTAAACATAAAAAACCCCAAACCATAACCACTTAGAATAGCTATAGTTACATCATTCAACAATGTATCACCAGCATAACTACTTGTAATACTGATAATTACACAAGGACACAACAGAAACGATTAGGAGGATACTGCAGCACACAAGCAACAGATGCAGGACTCTTTTTGACAAACATAACAGCTGCTCTTTGATTTTTTTAATGTCTAATTCATCACCTTCCTCACAGTAACAGGTGTAATACAGTATATGATGATGCATCACCATGTAGCCAAACATAAAGCACACTTTAATTTTAATTCATATTGATTATTATTTCCAAAAACTCCCAGTGAACATATAGCTATATAGTGAAAATCAATACATAATAAATACATTTCATTAAAATTCTAAATCATTAAAAACAATGTTGCTGTCAACACATACCCAGATTAAAATGTTTGAGTCAAAAGCACAGTTAATCATTAAATGTTATTTAACCTATTATCTCACATGAATTTCACACTGAATTGCAATTTTGTTCCAAACAATTAATTATTTATCCACTCAAGTGAAACACTTTCCTGAATGTGATGTACAGACAATGACAAATAACTAGGTATTTAAAGCTGTCGGGCTACACAATAAAGTGGAGCATTATACTATACTAAGATTACATGGGGTCTTGTTGACAACTAGGAAAAGCACGTTTTCATGCAGGAAAGTCAGTGATATTTAAAGCTCACTATACTAGACTGCACATTTTATTTGAACTTCTCTTTCAGAACAATTAAAGGTATTTATTTGTGTATCACATGTATTTTAGGGTATTCAAATACACCTTTTACCACTCTTTAACTACTGCACACTGTAAATACTGAAAAGACTTCTGTTGATTCATGTGTATATTTTGTTATTTTATTCCTGTGTATATTTTGTTATTTTTATTTCTTGATTTCTTTGGCATTCGGTGTGGACAGCAAAGTAAAATTTTCATTGTACAGGGAAACCTGCTTTCCTTACTGTACACATTACAATAAACGCTTTGAATCTTTGAATCTCTTGAATCTATTTTCTTAGGTTTATCCTGTATCATGTAGATAGCTCTATAAACGTAACAATCATTGTAATTAAGTTCTTGATTACTAATGATGACTAATCAACATGTCCCGAGTGACGGCTTAAACCCTGGAGTCTTAATATATGGCTGTATTAATGATGAATCACATTTTTATATCCAATACAAGTGTTTATGGGGATCACTTGTTCAATGTCAATGGATAGGTGTAAACGGGTCTTAAAATGTGTTTCTACATCTATTATTTCTATCTCAAAAATCGTCTAAAGGACTGTAACAACTCCCTTGGCGTTGGTGTCCGCAGTAGAATAAACCTCATCAGCTAATTATGGTGATCTTTACGCCAATCATTTGTCGAGCAATAGACATTACTTCATCGTCTTCCGAGCTGGTTTTCAACAGCACTAGTTCAGCTAGTTAGCCGGCTAGCCGGTTGCTTTCGGGGACACAGCATATTACAGACGTTAGCTAGCACTATCATAACTTAAAATGTGACAACACCAATGTAATGTCGGTATATACTCACAATATGAACTCAAACAACAGAGGAACCTTGTTATTTTGCTAAATGGGAGTATTTTCGTTGGCAGTTAGCATACAACCACTTGCTAGCCTGCAACATAGCAGATAGCCTGCTCGTTCAATCGACTTTAGTAGAACTGCGCAACAAAAGACACATAGTAATGCACCTGTATGTAAAATACAAAAATCAATCACTATGAACATACCTGGTAGGGTTCAAGAGTATTCTACGTGCTGTATTGAGGGCAGTTAAACGTCCTAAACCGAGCAGTGACATTGAGGACGCCATGATTGTTGTGAACAATGACATACGGCAACTGCGAAGGGACAAACAAGAAGCGCTTCGAGGGCAGCAGCGGTCTGGGAGACACCGGGATTTAAGGCAACGAGTAACAATATTCCACAGGGAGAGGATGAGGTCAGAGAGAGAGAGACATGTCCGGGCACGTCTGTCTTTGCCTTCACACTATTCATATTAATATCGTCTCATAATAACAAGCACAAAGTGTCTACTTTATGATAATTTCCATTCAAATCTACTGTCTACTAGTAGTTTTAACAGGTTGGATTATTAAATATAGTATAATTTTATTTTCTGTGGATGTGGAGATAATTTTTATTGATTATACCTGCTAATTATGTAGGCTGTTAGCTATCTATTATTTATCTTGGGGTAAAGTTATGCACATATTTCTTTATTACTTTAAAAATGTTGTAACAGATTTCTTTGGGGGGTTTTATTTGATGTTTTGTGTGCTGAAAATTACTCCTAAACCAGATCATTATGGTTGGTGGTGTACGTGTCAACAGAGAGCCATTTATATAAAGTTTATATCATACCCATTTTTTTATTCTTTATTTTTAACACATATTTTATTTTTTGCCATGACTGAAAAAAAAAAAAAATCAAACATGCAGTCGAGGAAAAGTATAAGGAAAAACTTTTATTGTTTCACTCTTCATATCTGTACAAATACCATCAAACTTTGTATATACATATGACATTTACATAAAAATACAAAACTATATATTCATAACAGAATTTTGTATTTCTCTTGTGATGTTGAAAATAAAAATGCATTCTGAAACAAAACAACAAACACAAGAAACAGAATAAATCACGTCATGAATTCTGATATATTGTTGGGTACTGATCTACATTAATTCTATCTGAGCTCTACATGAGCAATGTGGAGCACATTGGCAAAAGTATAGCACACATACTGTATGTTAATGGCACATTATCGTCAAAATAATTAAGGGTCTTCGGATTTGACCTCTGCTCTCATGTGGTGAAAGATAAATGCTTACAAATCCTTATAAATCCAAAACAAAAGGGCTGGAACTGAGACAATAAACAACATAATTAGAAAAAGAAAAAACAAATGGCTCTTTTTTTTCCTCTCCCATTTCTTCACTGCCGTTGTTATGTCCAAAAAAACCATTGAGAAAATCCCTTTGGTCAGTTATTATGAGTTGTAAACAAACCTGAAACAATTTATTTACATAAAATGATCGATATATTCCCAATAAATAAACACACAGCCTAAACATGCATTTACGTATGTCTGACATAAACATCTGTGATAGAGATCTGACAGAAACAAGCAGATTCTTTTTACAGCTCAGGGAATGCAATTTACAGCCTGCAGAGGACTCATGCTTACACGGTAACATGACAAATAAATAACACTGCTTTTCTTTGGACAAATATATTTCTTCATGTTAAGAAAGACAGAGAGAACAACAATAAAACAAAAGAAAAATGGGGAGAAGAGTGGTAACACAATAATATCGTGGTAAATAGTAAGCCTGACATTTTAAATGTATAAATTATAAAACACAAAAAACACAAAAAAGTATAAATAAACATCTAGCACACTGAACTATATGTATACTTCCTTTCCTTTAAAAAATAAATAAGCATACACATAATGTACAGTATGGACATGATTCCTTGCCCTAGGACTGTTCCCCTAATGATGGGAGTCTGGTCGTCCAGTACAGAGGATTAATGGACATAGGCCATGAGTCCTTGTCTGCCCCATCCACCTCCTGGTCTTTTTTTAAGACTGCGTGGAAAAAATTGTATGGTAGCTTTTTTCAAGAACCCAGACCACAACAGCGTAGAATTTTATGAAATGTTCCGAAATATAATCGCTAATGGAATTATAATGTCTAATGGATGGTCGGTGTGACGCAGTGGTATAAATTACTCTGGCACTCCCATTGATGTAGTTTCCATTTACATTGTTAAGCAAGTCAGGGCTGTTACAAGAGAACAAACTGGGAAGATGGAGATGTAGATTAGGAATGGGGCAGAGTTGCCTGCTGGGTGTATGAGGGCATCGCATCTGAAGTAAGTCTGTTTTTTGTTGTTTTTTGTTGTTTTTTTGGCCGATTCCTGTAAACAGACACATGTTACACAAAAAAGTACTTTTTGTGTACTTCTTTGCTCTGGATATGATTTCAGCTCCTGGCTCAAAAGTACTGGGAGGGAGGACTCTGTGTCACAGCCTGGACCAAGCAAGCAGGTCAGAGATAATCAAGACGATTCTGAGGTATTTTCTTTTTTTTTTTTTACAGAAGAGATTTTCAAAAAAAAAAAAATTACAAATAAGCACACAAGCAAAAGCCAGACTGACAATGCAAAAATTAAGAATGAAAAATAAGAAAAGCACGGTTGCTCGTCCATTTCGCCGTAAAGTATCACGTTTATTTTTTAGCATCATGAGGTGATCATAAAGTTGGTCCCTTGGATTCCATTGCATTAGTTAGGCACATCACATTAATGTTCTCCATCAGGAGAGGGGAAACGAACAGGGAGACATTCTTCGACATAGCGACTTGGAATGTAAATTTGATACTTCCTTGAGGCTATTGTTCAATATGACAGTTCACCGCCAGATTTGTGAGTGCATTAAAGACTCACTCTGGACTGCAGATAGGTAGTCTACTCGAATTACAGCGGTTTAAGTCCATCAAAGTCATTGTCACGGTTGTGGCACCAATGTTACAATCACCTTATGTACATCAGGTTAGTATAAGTCAGAGGGTTCTGTTCTCTCGGATGCAGTGGCGCGTACGTCATGAGATGCAGTGCATCAATTGGATTGACTGATTGATTGATTGATTGATTGATTGATTTCAGCCAAAAGAAGTTGATTTAAACACAAGCACGACATCACCACAGAGACACCAAGGGTGAACAAGGAATTGACGAGTTGCAAAGATGTGACCGTCGTCCGGGAAATAAATCACCGCTCATTAAAAGAAACTGCTAAGGCAGGGGTGTCAAACTCAGTTTGGTTCAAGGGCCACATGCAACCTAATTAGCTGTCATGTGGGCCGGACCAGTACAATTAACCCCAGTGTAATCATGTTCATAATAAACTATAAAGCACAAGTCCATGTTTTTCCACTTTGTTTTCATGCAAACACATACAAGTATATTAGATATATTATTATTATTATTATGTATTCATATTTAATGAAATTGAATTTTTCAAAAAATATCCTGAAGATAAAGTATATTTTTTTCATTTTCAAAATTCATAATGCGGGCCGGACTGAACTGCCAAGCGGGCCAATTTTGGGCCCCGGGCCGTATGTTTGACACCCCTGTACTGAGGGCTTTAAGGCAGACCTGTTTCTGCCATTCACTCACATGGCCATAGTCGTAACTAGTTTTAATATCAGGATTGTTCCACTGCAAACACAACAAGAGCGTCTTTAGTTTTTTTTTGTTTGTTTTTTTGTTTTGTTTTTTCCCCATTCAGTTCAGCATCAAGTTAGGTTTTTTTCTCCATATTTGTGGAGTAATAGACATGTTTTTCACCTCTCTCTGATTTTGTTCTGAAGTACGATTGATTGAAAAAAAAGTTAAAAAAAAAAAAAACAAGAACACAAGAACAGAAGCCAGCAACAAAGACAACATAACGCAAGTCCATCCATGCCCAAGACCTTTCTGCTTGCTCAAGCCGTACTTGGTGGTGTAGCTGTCGTAGGATTTCGGGGGAGGGAGGGGGTGGGGGAGCATAACAGAGTATTGTCTTTTGCTCGTTGGGGTTGTTTGATTGACATTTTTCATACTTTTCGCACCTTTCTTCTCTTGATTTTACTTACAGTTGCAAGAACCAGCGTGCTTCACCTCCAGCAGGACGCCCATCGAGCAGGCGGCCTGCTTCATGGCACATTCACTTGGGTACGTGGTGTTGTCGCTGGCACACACCGCCTCATCCATCCTGCTGTCCGGACAGGTCTCCTCGCACTGTGAGCAGCGGCCTCGGCTCATGCGAGCATCCCACAAACACTTCTTCCCAGCGCTGCATTGGATGTCCTCACACGACTTAGCTTCTGCAGAGAAGAGTGGAAGAAGTGAACACGGGCGGGAAAGACGCATTATTTCAAACACTGCTAGCCACTCGTACGACTGAACTAAGCCTGGTATAAAAAAACGAAATCCTATTTTATGGGACATAAAAGTCTTGTGGCAAGCAACAAAAGTCATGTTTCAATTAGTGTCCCTGAGTCTTAATGACTTTTTATTGACTCATTTTTAGTTAAGGATCCATCCGACTTATATGTTAACTTAAAGCATTGTTTCCCAAAGACTGGGTCGTGACCCTCAGGTGGGCGTTTCCCAGGAGTTTACGGATAATGTCTATTGACTTGGGTCGCAAAGGTTTGTGACTTTTACTATATGGGTCCCCTGAAAAAAAGTTTGGGAAACACTGATTTAAAGCATGGCCCCTACCACTCCCCTGTTTTGCTCTCGTCCCCCCCCC